TCCACAAAAAAGGAGCCACTGAAGAAGGCATCCAGAAAGAAAGCTCTGCGCACGGGTTAAACAATAAAGACAAATCTAGAATGTGCCCACACCTACCTCAAATTTTCAAATACAAACGAAGCTAAATGGGAACAGTTATGAGCACGGCTGGACATGGACATGGACACGGCACACCATTGACCACCACACCGATCTTAATTTGGCCTTCACCCCCGGTTTACATAGAAGCTCTCCAATTTTTGAACTAACCCTGGCACAGTTGGACTCCACCAACTGCGTTTGCCCTTCATCATCGGGACGAATAGTTCGACACATGACACCGCCACAAAAATTTTAGAAAATCGTAGGGACAGCGACACGTTTGGGGATAGCTATAGATATAGTAATTTTTTTTATTATTAATATGCAAATTAAAATATTTATCCCGTATTATTTCTATTTTAGAGATATACTATTTATTCTATTATCTAATATCAAAATGTATCACCATTTATTAAGATTTTTCTTTTTTTCCTGTTATGGCACAATAGTAGAAATAATTAATGTTTAATAGATAACAATATTAAAAAAATATATTAAAAAAAAGTTAAAAAGGGGAAAAAAAGATTTTTTTTTGTTACCAAAAATAAAATAGGTAAAAACAATAAAGAAGAGGAGAGAGACGGTCTTTATTTGAGTGGATATGAGAGAGACAGAAAATCAAACACAAAGAAGAGAAGAGAAAGAGAGAGTCGAACAAAGAAGCAAGAGAAGTGAAGGAGAACAGAACAAAGAAAGAGGGAGAGATGAACATAACAAAAGAGAGAGCGATGAACAGAGACGAAGGTTCAAAGAAGATGAACAAGTTAGACGAAGACGAACAGAGAGCACCGAAAAGAGGAAGAGAGGGAGTCGAACACACAGATTGGAAGAACACACCTCAATTTAGCCTCAATCTAGGGCTTCAACAGGTTCTTCACCATTTCCCTTTTCTCTTTCTCTTTCTCTTTCTTTGTCTTCAATGGTTAGGGTTTCTCTCTCTATCTCCAACGGGGTAGGGTTTCTGTCTCTGACATGTCCATAATGTGTCCAAGAGTGTCTGAAGAGTGTCCGGGTCCAGCTGCAAAAAACAAAAGAAGGGGAGGGGGGAGGGAGAGACACATTAGGTAGAATGTCCAACACATGCCAACCGCGTGTCCGTATCCAACACAGGTCAGACACCCATACGTTGCCTTTGGAGAGGTATCTGTGCTTCACAGGAACCAGGAGTTACAAGAATGATGAAAGGAACCCATTAAATCTCTTTATCCTTGATTATCTTGACATTAATCTATACCAATCATGTTCTACATCAAATAAGAGAGCACAACTCACCCATGAAGCACAGACACCTCTTTGGAGGTCACGTACAAGTGTCTGACACGTGTCGGACAAGGACACGGGCCGAACAAGCTCTGGACAAGTGTTGGACACATTGGAAAGAGTAGGACACGCTGGGACACTTGGATACACTACGGACACACTACAGACACGTAGGGACACGCTACGAACACGCTGCAGACACACTGAGGACACGTTAAGGACATACTGAGGACTATTTTTTTTAAAAAAATTAAAATTTTTAATTTTTTTCATAAAATAACATACCTCAAGTTGATAAATTTGATAAAATTAAATATTTGACATAAAATGCATATTAAATATTTTAAAAAATGACATATAATAAATATATGAAATTATATTTTTTTCATGTGTTCCCAACATGTCATGTCTTGCATTTTTTGAAAATTTATATGTCCACATGTCTGTGTCGTGTCCATGCTTCTTAGTAACTCACCAAGCCAGTAAAGCACTTTGGCATCAGCCACCCAATGTACTTCAAGAAAAGTAAAAATCAATGGGCTTAAGTAATCGGAAATATATAGTATATTGATTTTCTCACAAAAGAACAATTAAGCAGTACCAAATTGAAATAGCAATTCAATCGAATCTTACCAGCTAAAATATCCAAATAAAATCAAAATAAACACCAATGTAACAAAAGGATGCATGAACTACGCCTAGTTGGCCAAGGCCCGTATAATGTTAAAAATCAATGTATAAAGAGAAAAATACAGAGAGAATAAATGTATCTGATGATCTTATTATTGATTGATGTTGATATCTGATTGTTGTGTAGTTGATATTACAAGGCTTCCTATTATATAGGAGAGGATTTGGGAGTAGGTGAGTGTGTGTGGTAGGTGTAGGAAAGTAGGTGAAGTAGGTGAGTGTGTGTGGTAGTGGAGGTGGTAGGTGGAGTGGGTTATGGTAAATTCTAACAGTATCATTTCTGATCGACTACTCCTTTCCATCAAAAGATTTATTTTTATATTACCAAATGGTAGCGTGGAACAAGATGGGCCCACTCTCCATACCACTAAAATCCTACTAAAATATTCCTATCACAACCTGCCAACAATTTCCAATGATTCCTAATCCTCTTATATTTGTAACTTCAGTAAGCACTAACGCTTGATGGGGCCTAATACCCATCGAGGGGAAACCTCCAATTCCCTAGATCACAAAGCACCAAATAGAAAGTTCCCACACAAATTTCCAGTGATTCCCTACTTCTCTTATAGATCCCAAGCTTCTGCAAAATCCACCATCTAATATTGATCCAGCCACACAAATCTCAAGTTCCAAAACATACAATGTAGTGTCAATCAAGTAATACACCACACATGGTGGTAAAACAAGGGTTTCCTTTCATGAAGATCTTACAGACATTATTTGAAAATCAAAGTAACTTGAGAGAGAGAGAGAGAGAGCATACAAGACATTTGTTTTTCTTTTTCCTTTTTGATCAGCGATATAACGATCATTAATTTGTTAACAAGCATTGAGCACCTGCTCATGTAAATAGAATTTTGGTGACAAGAAAGTCACCACGTGTATATAATTTAGTGACAAGCACCATGCCATGTGGACAAGCACAATGACACGTAGACAAACATGTTGGTGACAATCATATTACCATGTGGGCAAAAAATATTAACTCGTGATTTTGGATTTTTTTTTTTTTTTTGTCCTTTCTAAACTTTTTTCGTTTTTTTTAATTTTTTTACTTTTCCAGTACTTCTAGTCAAGTAGAACCAAAAAGCCTTTTCAAATTTTTTTTTTTTTTTAATAAGTTTACTAAAGAAGAAAAAAAGCCAACAAAAAAGCAAACCCCGAACACCCACTCACTAAGCGGATTAAAAACTCCAGTGAGTTTCCAAAAGTAAACACAAGCTTGCAAGCTAAACCACTATAAAAATCTGTGTGTCCATTGTGCTTATTTACATTCATGCTTTGGTATCCATATTGTATAAATGAGCTATTTGAGTAATTGGTCAATTTGCAGTAAATTGAATATTCCATTATTTTATTACATCCTTCAAATTGAAGTTAGCATTGGAAAATTTACCATTGGCTCACATAATCATTCAATAATGTTAGAGATAAAAAGAATTCACTAATTCATAAACTAGCACAAGATTTGAATATCAATTTAAATAAAATATAAGAATTGATATCTATAAAGACACTATTTGGGATCCATATAAAAGAAGGAAATTAAAAGGGGGATTAATCAAAAAAATAATATATTACCCATTCACCCTCCTTGAGCATGCACAATTCCCTCAACTACAAATCTAGATGTTCTAGATGATTAGACCTTTTTGTGCATAAGAAATAATCTGTCTTGGTTAGCATTCAAGTGCATGCATGTTAAACTACCCAACAAACCCCAAGTGAATGCATGTGGCTTCCAACTAGTTATTAAAAAAAAATAAAAAGTCACTGCGTTTTGAAATGACATAGAAAGATTTGAAACATACCCATATTTCTTAAAGTGCTCCAAGCATTTAGAAACTATGTTGACTGGGAGAAAAGGTGTACATAGCGAATCATAAAAATTGACTCCAATGACTTCTCCATAATGATTGATAAGGGGTCCGCCGATACCACACTAGCAAAAACAATAATCATTAGTTCAAAGATTGCCTAAATACATATAATCTAGTCAAATAAAACCAATAGTTCATTGCATTATATCATATATACTACAAAGACATATGTAACATTTTAGGGCCAGATTGTAGTCCACCATGTATGATCCACGCATTGTATCACATAATTTTTGCCTAAATGTAGACCTACATCAAGCACACATATAAACTAATGTTAGGAATATATTAGAAATATTTTTATATTATAATAGTATAAATGGGCCTTTGAAGGTGAAAATACCAAACTTTGACCCGAATCCAGAGTCTTTAATGAAATACCAAATCCACACCTTACCAACTACATTCCAAGAGAAGCAGTGTGGGGCAATCGGGCAGATTTCCCATTTACTCTGCCCCGTTGCTATTCCTAAATGTAGAGGATGCCAAAAAAATTGAAAGACAGTTATATCATCATTTTCTACTAATCTAAAAGCCCAACACAAATGTAAACATAAGAGAGACAAAAGCTATTACTTTCGAAATTTTGCAGTTCGCCCTGAAAAGCTCTTTACAATCAAACTTGCAGCAGTCAAGACTACACAGAAAGAAAAGAAAGTCAAGTCACTTACAAGTAATAATGTACCATAATTAATACTAAGCCTTTTCTTTCGCATATAGTCTATGCACTCTGATTAACACAAAATAATGCAATAATTAGGTAATGGCACCATAATATAATTTATGCAAAGTTAAGAGTATCATAGAATTCTACATTCTAATAGTGGAAAATGTGTAGTTGTTTGGGATGATCTAAATAAGTACATTTTTTGACTTTTTATGAAATATGGGTTGGGTTTGAAATGATGTGGTAAAGAGGTGATGTGATTTAAATAGGACAGTGACTTTTTGGCTTTTTGACTTTTTTGTGTTATGCCAAACCTAGCCTAAGATCAACATCAAGAAAATTGCAACATGCAAACTAAATTTACTTTGGGTACCTGAATTGACCACGAGCAGCCATGAGATTATATGGTGCATCAAAGAAGCGACCAACTGCTACAACATTATCTCCAGGACAAAGTTTAGATACATTTGAATGAGGACGACCAGGGATATCATTTGGATCTATACTGATAGTCTTCCAATAGTCTTAGACTTGCAGTTGGTAAAGTTGCATTAGATTCAATTTTGATAAAAGCGATGTCGAAATGAAAGTCATAGGCGAACACTCGACCCTCAAACAATTTGCCATCTGAAATATACACATCAATCTGCAATAACAGTAACACTGAATAGTATTGTATTGTACCCAAAACAAAAAATACTTTTATTGAAATAATGACCTTGATATCCTCGGGTACCGCTTCTAATTCCGCAGAAGACCTAAGAAGACTAGCAGAAGTTAAGATGGTACTGAAATATGTACTGTTGACATTCTCACAATCTATGATTGTGCCAGAGCCCATAAATAATGCATTCCCACCTAGCCAAAAATATATACAAGAATAAAAAATGTATTGTAGGAATAACAATTAGTAGAAATTTGTAAGATAAGAAAAGCAATTAATATAATAATGCAGTAACTCAATACCTACCTGTAAGGGATACAACACTGACAACAGATGGAGAAGCTTTCAAAGCAGTTTTTTTGGTATCAATATCCAAGTCCATGTTAGCATATGTATAATCATCAAACTTCTCCCAAAAAGAATGCATGGTAATTTTGTAGGGACCTGTTGTTCAGATCATTATTTAAAAACTAAAATAATATATAAACAAAATTAAAATCAACAACTTTGCACAACCAATTTTTTACCTACCCCAAGTTTCAGGGTGTTTCCGTTTCCATGGGCTAATGCTTGCTATTTTTTCTTCCTTGTTGCGATGATCGCGAGGATCAACCTCCATATATTTGGTCTGAAGAACAAAGAAAAAGAATATTAGACAACATAGGGAGAAACAAAAAACTGAAGAAGCCCAAAGGAGAAAAAACACACTAAACAGAGAATTAAAAGAAGATTACCCAATTGGGGAAAAAAAAGAATATAAACCCATAAGATGGTACTGACAGCAGCACTGGAGTTTAATAAATAAATGAATTGGGCTGAAGAGGACCTTCCTTGTCACAATGATCGCGAGGATCAACCTCCATATATTTGGTCTGAAGAACAAAGAAAAAGAATATTAGACAACATAGGGAGAAACAAAAAACTGAAGAAGCCCAAAGGAGAAAAAACACACCAAACAGAGAATTAAAAGAAGATTACCCAATTGGGGAAAAAAAAGCATATAAACCCATAAGATGGTACTGACAGCAGCACTGGAGTTTAATAAATAAACGAATTGGGCTGAAGAGGACTAGGGCTGAAAATTGAACTGTACGGCTTTGAATTGTGAATTTTATTTTTTTATTTTTTATTTTTGGTCTGAAGAACAAAGAAGAAGAAAACTAATTCAAATTACAAAATCTGAATCAAATATTAAAAAATTCCAACCACAATACCTAAAAAAATCGAACCACGGTATCTACAAAAATTCCAGCAAAACAATTCTTCTTTTTTTTTTTTGCCTTGTTCATTCCTTTTTTTTAGGCAAATAATTCATTGAACAAACAAAACTAGCAAAACAAACAGCCCAAAAACAAAAATACAGAAATAACGAAACAGAAATCCAAATTCAATTTAAATAAAATAAACGACTTGTTATTCAAAAAATGGCAAAAAGCAAGTAGCTTTAACATTAATTATCTTGAAAAATCGCCCTCTGAATCTCTCTCTGTCTCTCTCCCTCTCTATATATATAATCTTAAATGACATAAAAAAAAAGGTTGAAAAATACCCACAAAATGATTGAATCAAATCAAAATAAGGATGTTTAAAATCTATACAAAATCCATAAAAATGCTGTAGAAAAGGGTTGAAAGAATACCCATAAAAAGTTTGAATTTATATATATACAGCAAGTAAAGACTGTATACATCTGATTTGAAGACTAGTACTACTTGGGAGAACACTAGAGTGTCTTCCAACGAGAGAGAGAGAGAGAGTACCAGGGGCCGTGATGCTATCGGCGCCGTGAGCAGCTAGAGAGGAAGGGGGAGGCGAGAGAGGGAAGCTGAGACTGTTTTATAATGATTTGTTTGAATACTCTAATATCAATCTTACCTGCTATTATTAATGATCTGGCAGTGATTTTACTAAAAATTATTTGATGTTTTGGTTTTAGCCTTGTATTTTTATTTTTATTAAGTGCTATGTTATTAGTGATCTTTTTAGAATTCTAAAATTAGTGGTCTCTATCATTATTGTTACTCATATTATAACTGTGATGTTACAGAGCTCAAAATATTTTTTAAAATTTTTATTAAATGTCGAATAATGTTATATACATATCAATTTATATATTAACTAATATGTGATATAATTTAAGATATTTTTAATATTTATAATGTGATTAATGAGTAGGATCAATTAATAATATTATAATTAATATTGATATATTAATTAATACATATAGCATCATCCTTAAATGTCTCATATAATGAAATGTCTCATATAATGTGAATTTTATATGAGTCTTTTATTTATATGAAATATTTGATAAAATATTTTGTAGAATTGTTTAGCTCTTTAGCATTTTTGTATTCATAATAGAGTCACACTATTAACACCTTATTAATTATTTTAGACCTTCCACTTATGAATTTTAAAACTTAAAAAGTTTATTTTCTCTCTTTAAAGGATACCAAAATTATTCTTATAAAAACATTATATTCACTCAATTGAATGCACACGCCCATACCTTAAAAAGTTTCTCTCCCAAAAACCCTAACAAAATCCACGAAAGTGATTATTACTCCATCTCTAAATATTTGTTCATAATTTGAGAAAATAAATATAATATTTTTTTGTGATTGATTTAAAATTCTTTTTTTGTGGGTCTTACGATCTCCATTACCATTAGTTTGGTTTTGTGATCTCTTATGTGAATTTCTTTGAATTCTCTAACAATTTCAATTATTGTTCTTATTTTACTTGAATTTTGTGATTTTAAAGTTTGGAAAAGGTTCATTAATAATGTTCAGTTATCTGTTTCTGAACAAATAAGAAATATTCGGTTATTTGTTCTCGAACAAATAAACAATGTTTAGACCTGTGTTTTCGAATTTTGGTCATATGTTCGGAAGTTCAATCTTGAAAAAATAACAAATAGTTTTTATTATTTTTGTCATTTTTTTTAAAGAAACTTATCCTTACAAGGTTATCTCTTATGAATTAAGAACACCATCAAAGTTATAAACCTCCTCTGAGCTTTTATTATTATACTTCTCTCGTCTCATGAAGTTGTGGTTGTCGGAAAAAATTTCACTCATTGTCATTGCTGGAGAAGTGTAGGTAATCAAACGGTTGATGTAACGCCCCAAAAATAATGACAATAATTCATTACACAATAATTATCCATTAACGATACATTTCATAATAAGATCTCTTCACATTCATATGATCCAGTTATACAAAATATGACATATGCAATCATACATTCATAATCACTAACTTTGAATCTAAAGCATGTGTCATACATAAAAGATATGAAATAAGAGTAAAACAGATAAATGAATGCCTTAATAGTTACAATTTTCCAAGTCGATGCTTGATTATAACCAAAGTGAGTTTAAAATTCAATAGAAATAAAGCCCTAGGCTTGTACAAAATAAATACAACAAAAACAAAACAAGAAGCTCTTGACTCTAAGTCCTCCTATGCTACGGCCTTGGCGGAGATATATCATCAGCACCTAAAAATATTTTTTCACATAGGGTGAGCCAAAACCCAGTAAAGATATCCTAATACAATGTATGAATCTTAACAGAGTTATAATGCGAATACATATGCAAAACTCGTGTCAAAACATTTTATATTTCTTTTCAAAAACCCATGCAATGCCAAGTTTATATCACAATTCATGCAATCATTTCCTTTTCAATAGAAAACAGGGCAGTTGATACAACACTGAGAATCTCTAGGACATGTCTGCAAGTAAGCTATAAGCATTATCAGTTGCCATTTTTACCAGTATTAACCGGAAGACTCGGCACCTATCCGCTACATAGTACCACAACTGCACTCCTATCTAGATTCACCAATATTTTCACTAATTTTTCTCAAAACAATAAACATTTTTAATGTGTTAAATATGTTTCAATGCTCGATGCAAATGGATAAGAAATTAATTTCAATTCATCTAATTTTCATGCAATTTCTACAACAATCATAGTTATCCTTCACCGATAGCCTAAAACAAATATCTCTAAACAGATAGATAATGTCCCATAAAGATATACTTTCCAAAATCTCAAAATAGGAATGATAATGCATATCCAACTCCACCACTATCATCATCATCATTCCAACTCCATAAAACCCACCCCATTTCCATTTCCTCTTTATAAAAATCAAGTGTTCACATTTTTGGACAAAATTCATTCTTTTTTCTATAAATCAATTCTAAGGATAAAAATACATTATTGGCTCACAGTAGCCACTTTATGTTTAGGGATCTTCATTCTTGTTGGATGGATTAATATGTAGATATAGGTCCCATTAGATTATGAACAAGTGGTGCATACCCGGAGCTACGATCTATTTTAGTGTTAGGAAGAAAGGCTGGTGATTAATGAAAACAAAATAGTATTGAAATGTTTAATTCATTTTATTTGCTTAAAAGATGACTTGTGCACAATAATTAAGAGAGAGTATTATACTTTGATTTTGTAAACTGCGGGAAATTCTTTTTAGTCGAGGAAGAGTGAATTTTTTCCAGTGAATGAAATTGAAGATCACTCAATCCAACCATGATTATTTCAATTAAATTACGATGGCACATGACTAGGACCATGACCATGATCATTTTTTTGACTATCTTATTTTCCATGCTGACTAGTTCAAAATGGGATTGGGAGGGAAACAGCAAATTACATGCTTGTTGAGAACTCTGACTGATTGGGAGGTATACGTATAATCGTTAAAAATAAAAAATAAAAAATAAATTATCTCACTTGACCTCCAAACTTCTATTAATCTCCATGATGAACAAACAATACCAGGAGAGCTCAAACACTTCGAGCTTGACAAACTCGGGTGTGATTAGGAAGGATAATAGGGCGGGGCGGGGCCGGGGATCACACTCCCCGTCCCCGATCCCCGATGGTCGAATTTCCCCCGGCCCCGGTCCCGATCCCCGACGAGGAATCTATCACCGCCCCTGCCCCGCCCTGCCCCCTAACGGGGATCAGGTTTTCCCGACCCCGAACATTGTTGGAAAAATGGTTTAATATAGGCATATTTTTTAGTGGTTTAATATAGGCATAATTTTTAAGTGGGTTCGAAGAGGTGAAGTGTTCCTTGCCGCGTTGCAAGTCACACGATGAAGACGAAACGTCAAAACCATTTATGAGTGAATGAGAAGTTGATATCGTTTTCAGGTCTAACATTAATTTTTAGATAAAATTCATTTGAATTTTTTCAATAAAAATTATTGTAGGAATTTAATTTAATTCTAAATTCAAATTTTAGGTTCCTAAGTGGTTTCCTAAAATTTGTAATTGTGTGAATTTAATTTAATTCTAAATTCAAATTTTAGTTTCCTAAAGTTTGTACCTTTTTTTTTATTGATTAAACTATTCAAATAGTTTAATAATATTTTTCGAAACAGTTAGTACACACTGTTCCACTTAATGGCTTGTTTGATAAAACTATTTAAATAATTTAATAATAAAATATTTCCAACAGTTTTGCACTTGGTCTCTAACGGTACATTTTTCAAAGTTTGAAAAATTGTTTCTAGCAACGGTCAGTTCCCTTTTTCAAACTGTACCTGTTCGGATTCATTTGTACCTGTTCGGGTAAAATATTTGGCTATATATACAGCCTTTTTCCAGCAGTCCGAAGGATGAAAAATTCAGTCAAATTGTTGTCTTTTTGCTGTCCTAAATTCTACATTTTTTGCATTATTCTTCATATTAGTTTTAGTATAAATTTCAGAGAGTTAGAACACAGGTTTGGTTCGCCGAACAAATTGTTTGGAGTGCTACTACAATTTGTGAAGATCATTGTATCCTGGGAGATAGACGCCACTCAACCGTAAGCACTGTAGCGGGGCGAATCTGTCTTAAGGACAGAGTGTCACACACTCGACTTAGTCTTTAATTATCTATTCGGTTCAACAAAATAAATTTTGTAAGTTTTATTTTATTTTGTTTGAATTATTTCAAGTTATTTTATCTTACACAGAAGATTGTTCCAACAATCTTAAGACAGATTCGAATTATTCTGTTTACAGAATTTTTCGTTTGTTTCCTTTTTTCATTCTTCGTTTATAGAAAATTCTAATTATAATTTTGTTTTATAAATTAGAATTGATGACTACTGAAACTAATGTCCAAACAAGTACAACTGTGGTGGCTGCAATGACGCCAACCCCCTCTCATGTTGTAACAGTACCGGTAAATCACGGTGAAAAGCCAGAGAAGTTCTCGAGAACTGACTTTAAAAGATGACAACAGAAAATGTTGTTCTATCTTACAACTCTGAACCTGGCTCGTTTCCTCTGTAAAGATACTCCTATCTTGAAAGAGGATGAAACCGACCGGCAAGTGGTTGTTGCGGTTGATGCCTGAAAACATGCTGATTTCCTTTGCCGGAACTACATCTTGAACGGACTTGACAACACATTATACAACGTCTACAGTCCTATCAAGACAGCAAAAAAACTTTGGGAGTCTTTAGAGAAAAAATGCAAAACGGAAGATGCCGGCTCAAAAAAATTTGTGGTTGGTTGATTCATGTGATCAGCCAAGCTCAAGATTTCCAACTCATTCTGCATGATATTCACGCAGAAGGCATGTCTCTCAGTGAATCTTTTCAAGTTGCAGCCTTAATTGAAAAATTACCAAAAGGCTGGAAGGAATTCAAGAATTACCTCAAACACAAGCGCAGAGAAATTTCTATAGACGAATTAATTGTGCGTTTAAGGATTGAGGAGGACAATCGCAATTCTAAAAAGCGGACTGGTAAGTATCCTATGGAGTCTAACGCAAATGTGGTGGAACATGCTTCAAAAATCAAGAAACGAAAGTCTTCTGGAGAAAGTTCATCACAAGGCTCTA